AGAAGTCAACATGACAAATGACCTGGCACCTGAGCTGCGCAGGAGGAAGAGGGCGGCTTGGAACACCTTCAAGAGCATCGAAGAAATAGCGAAGAGGATGAAGAAACCCCGGCTCTGGGCACATCTCTTTGATTCCACTGTTCTTCCTGCATTAACATATGCCTCAGAGACCTGGGCCCTATGCAAACAGGATGAGAATGCTATTCATGTCTCCCAAAGAGGAATTGAAAGAGCTATGCTTGGAATATCACGTTTCACTCAAATGAAAGAAAGAATCCGGAGTTCCGACCTCCGTCGACGATCGAGAATCAGGGACGCTGTCTCATTTACCAAGGTGTCAAAAATCAGAGGGCTGGTCATGTAATAAGATTTAAAGACGACCGCTGGACTAGAGCTGTTACTGACTGGATTCCACGTGATGTCAAAAGACCGTGTGGCTGCCCACCTACCAGATGGTCAGACTTCTTCATCAAGATCATCAATGATTGGTTTGAGGCTCTTCATGTTCCTAGAGCGAACAGATGCCACTGGGCTACACTAGCACGCGACAGGGACAAATGGAGACATTACTGGCGCCCACTCGAGAAAACCGACGATTAATGGGAAGTCAAGTGATCAAGTGCTCAAGTGATAAATGCAATTAAAATATCTATATAATTCATTTAGAAATGATAATAGAACATATTACATATGAAAATTTTGTGAAGTCTGATAGGTTTCATTAACTATGAATTTATCTAGTCAAAACACCATCCTAGGTGCAGCTGTATTTTGTATATGTAATTAAAGCTCATAATCAGCTGAATTTAAGTAATGAAAAGTATCATACATAATCTGAATGAAACTGATTTGACAAACTGAATGCCTTAACAGTGTTTCTTCAAGCTGAGATTTCTTGAAGAAGAAATTTTGCCTGTGAGTTAAAGCTTTTCTCCTGACCCATGGGTCTTCCTGTCCTTCTCCCTACAGTATTTATACTTGTCCACCAGGCTCCTTTCTTTGGGAAATTTAATTCTCTGTGACATATCTCTTAATACACATCCAGAGAAGTTTCAGGAAAGAGTACATCTATTAACAAGTACAAGTTTCAAGAAAATAGGGCTATACTAAGAATAACAACAGTTATTATAAATTTTTAATATGACTGAGAAAGACAAATAAATAGAAGTACCAGATAACAGAGCTAACAGAGATGAAAACAAAATAGATGGCTGGAAGAGCTGGCTGAGTAACTATCCCAAAACAGTATGTAAAAGCAAAAACTGAAAGACACTGATTAAACATGTCATGCATTTAATGGATATTACATAATAATCTTAGATATTACATAATTATCTTAGATAGATAGAGAGTAGATAGTCTGTCACTCTCAGAACATTAATAAGCAGATGATCATGAGTGGAGAGTGCCATCGTATTACAGAAATGGAAAACTCAGTGCCAGAGAGATGGAACAATTAGGTGGCACTTGCCTTGCATGCTGCTGACCTGGGTTTGATCCCTGGCCCTACCTACAATCCCCTGAGTAATTCCAGGAATAAGTCCTGGGCACTGCTGGGTGTAACCCCCAAACAAAACAAAAAATGAAAAAGCTCACCCATTCATTTCTGACTACAGGGTGTGTTTCCAGAAGAGCTTGTAGAGTGTCAGTTTGAATCTAGCTCTTGTTGGAACCCTAGAACTTGTGAAGAATAGTTGGATATGGAAAGCGAGGGGCCTGGTTTCGTGTCTCCCTCCTGGGCTCTCATTTCTGTTTGCCTTTGAAGAGAGCCCTGTGGTTTGTGTGAAATTCCTTGTCTGTGTTAGCTCTGGAGAGCTTGGTGCCCTGTCCAGTTTCTTTTCAGGTTCTGGTGCAGGGGTATTAAAGATTCTTTTGAACTAACAACCTTTTTTTCCCTGACAGTTGTCCGTGAGCAATATATGTGTATTACATACATTTATATATTCATTTGCATGGCAGAGCCTGGCAAGCTACCCGTGGCATATTCAATATGCCAAAAACAGTAACAATAACGAGACTCATTACCCTGACACTGAAAGAGCCCCAATATGGCATCCTTGGGAAAGATGAGTAAGAACTGGTTGCTAAAATCTCAGGGCTAGGTTGAATGAGATGTTACAGGCACCTGCTAGAGTAAATCGACGAACAATGGGATAACAGTGATACAGTGATACATAATAATCTGGGCTGGGGCAATAGCGCAGTGGGTAGGGTGTTTGCCTTGCATGCGGCTGACCCGGGTTCAATTCCTCTGCCCCTCTCAGAGAGGTCAGCAATCTACTGAGAGTATCTCGCCCGCACAGCAAAGCCTGGAAAGCTACCCGTGATATATTCGATATCCCAAAAACAGTAACAACAAGTCTCACAATTTCTTGTGAGACATTACTGGTGCGCACTCGAGCAAATCGATGAACAACAGGAGAACAGTGACAGTGACCAATTCATTGGGTAGGAAATACAATTTTCTAAAATTAAATGTCCATTCCTAAAAAAAAAAAACCACTTTCAGCAGCCTAGAAATTAAAGTTTTTTAACTTGAAAAGAATAACAATAACTCATAGTTAATAACATTCCTATGAAGGAAGTATTGGAAGGATTCGAGTTAACTAAGAATTAAAGATAGCTACAGATACCACAACTATTTTACATTGCTAATAAATACAAAAATATAACACTGTATATGACAAATTTATGTGTATAAATATAAATTATGAGGCCAAAATTATTGAGATAGTAGCATAACTTACCTATACCAAACAATAGCCTGTGACCTACATCTAAGAATACTTTTATACTTTTTAAGCTTCAATTTAAAAAGAGAGTAAGTGAAAAAGAATAAATGAATAACTGCAAAGATGAAGGTATTTCTTATCTGGTACTATACAAAACATCTGCTGACTCCTGACCTCTAATGTACAGAAGACACAACTGAAAAACCATTGCAACTCTATTTATAAATACAAAATAGATCAAATGTAAAAGAGAAAACAGAAATAAAGTGTTGAATAACATTGGGATGTCTACGGCCATACCACCCTGAACATGCCCGATCTCGTCTGAATAACATTGGGTTATCCTTGTTCCTCCTGCAGGGAGCTTAGATTCATTGAGCTACTCCCATAACAGTGCCCCCTGAGGCATATCCAATTCCCTCAAGCACTAATAATCCTATATTGCTTTTCGTTTTCCTTTATGTCATTTGCATGGTTTATTTAGCAATGTCCTTTTTGTCTAGACACAGGAAGACAGTTCATGCTATGCTTTGTACATGGGAGTTAATTGACTCCAAAATAATATTTACTCCTGGGCATCTATATTTATTTGACTTAAGCCTCAGTTGCCCTTAGTTCCTAGAACTTCAAAAGCAGGGTCCAAGCGAAGGAACAGGATGGACCCAGGGCAAGCTGTAAGCTACCCTGGCATTGAAAGGAGACAAGCGGCATAAGTATAATAAGTTAAGAGCACGGTCATAGAACAAACTCTGTCATGACCCAAAAAGAAGTAACTAAATAAGGACCCTGCTGGGGTTAGGAAAGACGAACCTGGCCTGAGGACTGTGGTCTGGAATATATAGATTCCAGATATCTTCTTGGAGATATCCCCAAGAAGAACCAACCTTTAAGCTTGCTATATGTCTTACTGTATTCACACAAAATGACTAGAAATATTGTAGCACGGTCCTCCCGTTGTTCATCAATTTGCTCGAGTGGGCCCAGTAACGTCTCCATCGTGAGACTTGTTGTTACTGTGTTTGGCATATTGAATATGTCACTTACCAGGCTTTCCATGTGGGCGAGATACTCTCAGTAGCTTGCCAGGCTCTCCGAGAGGGGTAGAGGAATCGAACCCGGCTCAGCTGGGCTGGCTGTGTGCAAGGCAAACGCCTTACCCACTGTGCTATCACTCCAGCCCAGAAATATTGTAAGAAGTAAATTTACTATGATTGTTTAAATGGATTACTAGCTGAGGAACGGAGAAAGCAATACACTCTGGATAGAATCCCACCCTTGAGCGGATCTCCTACTAATCTGGGGGGTTGAACCATCAAATGAGATTTTTGTCTTTGAGTTAATCTCCTGAATGAGTGGCTTTACATCTGTTTGTTGTTATGATAATGTTCAACCCCACCTTTGTGTATCCCAACCCTTCATGATTTCTATATAACAATGTTATAAGGGGTAAGATAGGACTAGAAAGTCGAGGACTAGAAAGAGGTTGAGAACTGTGACTTTGGGACTTTGAGAACTAGAAGGAGGACTAGATGACAATGATGACTGGAAGTAGAGGACTATGAGACTACAACGAGATGAGGAAGAAAATGTAACAAGGTAGAGGACTTTGAAGTCTACAAGGAGATTAGGATGATGGAACTATGATGACTGGGGCTGTGACCAAAACTACGACTATGATTGTGCTGTAAGGGGAGAGATAAGACTACACCGGGGAGGAGAGACAGAAATAAACTGTCTACTGACCAGCCTTATGGCAAAGCCTGGCAAGCTACCCGTGACATATTCAATATGCCAGAAACAGTAACAACAAGTCTCTCAATTTGTTGTAAGATGTTACTGGTGCCCACTAGAGCAAATCAATAAACAACAGGAGGACAGTGCTACAGTGCTACTGACAGCCTGGGGTCTGGGTCCATTTTCTCCGTTCCCCCAGTCCTTCATCCGTCTGCCACTGTGGACCGACTTGGGGAAACGGTTCCCAGCCACCAAATGCTCGCATCCCCTGAGTGCCCACCACACCTTTTCTTTGGAAACTCACAATAAAGAAGTAGAAAAATGGAATGAACTATAAAACTTTAATAAAGGAGATGGAGTTAAGAGAGATAGTATTTATAGTGACTTTACACGAAAGCCAATGTCTGTCATGTATTTAATGAATGAAATTTCTTTGTAGCTCATTTCAGAGTGTTAATCATTGAGAAAGAAATCTAACATGCAATTTCTCAGGGATTGAAAAATAAAACCACATACAGAAGGTTAAAAACTTACAATTGATACGATGATAATGATGACCGTGAGCTTGAGATTCTTCATACACATGGCTCGGGCAAGATTTCTGCTTGTCGTTTTAAAGGTGACAGACTAGGAAACAAAGCATGAATTGTTTGGTCTCTGGCACTGACTACAGGACTGACTTGTATAATACATGCAAAAGATTTTACTTTCAGTAACTCCTTAAGTCACTGTTCTTTACCCCTTCACTTTCTTCATAGGTAAAGACTGGTCATTCACAATCTCTAGATGCTTTTAGGCCTAGCTGATAAATAGTAGGAGCTGAAATGTATACTAGAGCAACATACATGATGCCAAGAACCAGCAGTGGTGATTCCTGAGAGATGAAAATCGTTTTTCTTTTTGTTTCCAGTAACAAATAGTCACTCCTTCTAAGGGCCCTCCAGGCTGCAAACACATATTCTCTATTATTCCTGGTAAAATTCTGGTAATTTGAGCAATAAAAACCTATTCAAGTCCCATAGGAAGATACATGTATTTATTTGTGTAACAGCCAAAGCCCAAAGAACTTAACTCTTTTGGTAATGTTTTATTTTGCTTCATTAATTTCTCAGTATGTACTGAACCATTCTCACCAGGACAAAAGTAAGCAAATGAAACTCCCTAATAGTCTAGCAATTCCACTCTTATATGCCCAACAGAGGTGTATAAACATATTCCAACAAAAGACATAGCAAAAATGTTTCCAACAATACTATTTGTCTTAACTCAAAATTGCCTAGCTCTATCCTTTGCACTGCATATAATTTTCAAGCATTGTCAAGAGTGCTCCCTCAGTACAGAGCCAGAAGTAAGCCCTGAACATGGCTGGGGATAGCCAACACCCTCTCTCCAAATCACTCAATAAAACAAACTGTATACCTATGGTTAGTGTCTGTAATTTTCTCCATTAGTTATACTTCAATAAAAAATTTTTAAGGGGTCAAGAGTGATAATGCAGTGGGAAGGGTATATGCCTTGCATGCATCTGACCCAGGTTGGCTCCTCAGCATTACATATAGTCCCCTAGCACTGCCGGGAGTAATTCCTGAGTGCAAAGCCAGGAGTATGAGACACCTCCCCACTCCCTCCCCCGTCCCCTCAAAAAAGAGCCCCCCAAAATGTTTAAATCTGGCCTGGAGTGATAGTACAGTGGGTAGGGTGCTTTACATAGCCAATGCAGATTCTATCACCAGCATCTCACATGGTCTCTCAAGCAACTCCAGGAGTAATTCCTTAATGCAGAACTAGGAGTAACCCCTGAATATTGCCCAGTGTGACCCAAAACAAAACAAAATATTCTTTTCATCAAGCATTTGTCTTCAGTAACCTTTTCCACAAAATTTTTTCCAGAAAGTCTTACTGGTTGGTCCTTGGGTTTTTAGATACAAAGTTCTCAGGATGTTACAGGTCAAACTCAAATGCTAAATATATACTGCAGAACAAAACTGATTACATCTAGCTCTCAGTATATCCACTGAACGGAATACATACATAACACAGAATATACAAGGAGATTCAGTAATTAAAATGAAGGAAGCAGGGTCAGAGTGACAGTGTGGTGTGTAGAGCACTTGCCATGCACGAAGTCCACCCAGGTTTAATTCCTGGCACCACATACGATGTCCAGAGCCCCTCCAGGTGTGATCTATGAGCACAGAGGCAGGTGTAGCCCTGAGTAATGTTGGGTATGGCCCACAACAACAACAGCAAAAGTGGAGGAAATAACGTTAAGCAATCAGAGTAAACTATCCTCAATAGAACTAATATTCAAAATAAGAGAGAATATAATAATGAAAAAATGTCCAACAAGCATCTTCAGATAAAAGATATTCTGAAATGCAGAAGAAAAATTACATAACATTTAAAAATTCTTTTAAGAAAATTATGGCATATTAAAAATTTTAAGTTAAAAAATAACTGGCCTGACACTGTGGGAGCAATGTGAAGATTTCCCTTAGAAAACAGAAAAATACCTAGGATGGAAATTATTAGAGAAAGCATGACATAGATGAAAAAGATCAAGCAAATCCAGGATAAATCTGTATAAAAAATAGCTATTTTACACGTGCTTACCACATGTTGGGCTGGAGCAATAGCACAGTGGATAGGGCGATTGCCTTGCACACGGCCGACCCGGGTTCGATTCCTCCGCCCCTCTCAGAGAGCCCAGCAAGCTACCAAGAGTATCCTACCCGCTCAGCAGAGCCGGGAAAGCTCCCCATGGCGTATATGATATGCCAAAAACAGTAACAAATCTCACAATGGAGACCTTACTGGTGCCTACTCCAGCAAATTGATGAACAACAGGAGGACAGTGCAACAGTGCTATTATATGTTAGGTGCTGATTTAGACACATATTTTTTGTTTTGTTTTGTTTTTGCTTTTTGGGTCACACCCAAAAAGCTACCCGTGATGTATTTGATATGCCAAACACAGTAACAACAAGTCTCAAAAGGGAGACAATACTGGGCCAGCTCGAGCAAATTGATGAATAATGGGAGGACAGTTTGTTTATATATATATATATATATATATATATATATATATATATATATATATACTGTGTCTGGCATATCGAATACTCTCGGTAGCTTGCCGGGCTCTCCGAGAGGGGCGGAGGAATCGAACTCGGGTCGGCCATGTTGGCCGCTTGTAAGGCAAACGCCCTACCCACTGTGCTATCGCTCCAGCCCAATATATACATATATACATAATTGAGACCAAAATAACTTAGGTCAGAGAGATAGAATAATAGGTAGATATGGAAGAAATTTATATAAACTATCTTTGCCATGAGTATCTATATCTACTATATCGATATTTATGCCAGAAAAAAATGCAACGACAGGGCTGGAGCAATAGCACAGTGGTAGGGCATTTGCCTTGCACGCAGCCTACATGGCTGACCCGAGTTCGAGTCCTCCGCCCCTCTCGGAGAGCCCGGCAAGCTACCGAGAGTATCTCGCACGCACGGCAGAGCCTGGCAAGCTACCTGTGATGTATTCGATATGCCAAACACAGTAACAACAAAGTCTCCAATGGAGACGTTACTGGGCCCGCTCGAGCAAATTGATGAACAACGGGAGGACAGTGACAGTGACACTGGGTCACACCCAGTGATGCACAGGCGTTACTCCTGGCTCTGTGCTCAGGAATTACTCCTGGCAGTGCTCAGGGGACCATATGGGATGCTGGAAATTGAACCCGGGTCGGCCGCATGCAAGGCAAACATCCTACCCACTGTACTATCGCTCCAGCCCTGACTTAGGCACATATTAACAGTTGCTGAAGAGAACATTTTAAAAATCAATAATCCCAAGGACCAATAAAAGAAAATATCCCTACATTGCAAAAGACTTGAATTTTCCACTCAAAGTAGCTAACCAATACATGGCAACACATACACTCCCTAATAACCTAGTAACATTTTAGTACTCTAAGTCTTTATTTTTATTCTTTTTTAATTCTACAAATCTCTATATGGGCTGAAGTTGTAGTACAGCGGGTAGGGTGTTTGCTTGCACCTGGCTGACCTGGGTTCAATACCTCTGTCCCTCTCGGAGAGCCCAGCAAGCTACCAAGAGTATCTTGCCCGCACAGCAGAGCCGGGCAAGCTCCCCGTGGCGTATTTGATGTGCCAAAAACAGTAACAAGTCTCACAATGCAGTCATTACTGGTGCCCGCTTGAGCAAATCAATGAACAACGGGAGGGAGGACAGTGCTACAAGTCTCTATAATTAGGCAGAAATACAAACACTGTGTAGTAAAACTGGGGTTTGGGGGGGTGGAGTGTGATGGAAGGGAACCTGGGGACATTGGTGTTGGGAAAAGCACACTGGTGGAAGGATGGGTGTTGGAATACTGTATGACTGAAGTCTAATCATGGACAGCTTTGTAAGGGTCTATCTTACAGTGATCCAATTAAAAAATATTAAAAACCTCAAAAGAAACAGTGACCAAAATACAAAGACAGTCTACAGAATGGGAAAGGATATTCGCCCAATACACATCTGACAAGGGGTTGATATCAAGGATATACAAAGTACTGGTTGAACTCCACAAGAAGAAAACATCCAACCCCATCAAAAAATGGGGCAATGAAATGAACAGAAACTTTTTCAAAGAAGAAATCCGAATGGCAAAAAAGCACATGAGAAAATACTCTACATCATTAATCATCAGGGAGATGCAGATCAAAACCACAATGAGATACCATCTCAAACTCAGAGACTGGCCCACATTCAAAAGAACAAAAGCAACCGATGCTGGCGCGGATGTGGCGAGAAAGGGACACTCCTTCACTGTTGGTGGGAATGCCGACTGATTCAACCCTTTTGGAAAACAGTATGGACAATTCTCAAAAAATTAGAAATTGAGCTCCCATTTGACCCAGCAATACCACTCCTGGGAATATATCCCAGAGAGGCAAAAATGTATAGTCAAAGTGACATCTGCACTTGTTTGTTCATTGCAGCACTCTTTACAATAGCCAGAAACTAGAAGAAACCTGAGTGCCCAAGAACAGATGACTGGTTAAAGAAACTTTGGTACATCTACACAATGGAGTACTATGTAGCTGTTAGAAAAGATGCAGTCATGAAATTTACATACATGTGGTACAAATGGAAAGTATCATGCTAAGCGAAATGAGTCAGAAAGAGGGATAGACATAGAAAGATTGCATTCATCTGGGGGATATAAAGTAACAAAATATAGCACAGCAGTAGGGCGTTTGCCTTGCATGCAGCCAACATGGCCAACCCGAGTTCGATTCCTCCGCTCCTCTCGGAGAGCCTGGCAAGCTACCAAGAGTATCTCGCCCACACAGCAGAGCCTGGCAAGGCACCCGTGATGTATTCGATATGCCAAACACAGTAACAACAAAATCTCCAATGGAGACGTTACTGGGCCCGCTCGAGCAAATCGATGAACAATGGGAGGGCCTTTACCTAATACCCAAGAATAGCTGAGATCAGCACCAGGAGGATTACTCCATAGCTTAGAGGCCAGCGGGCATTCAAGGGGAAAGGGCAGCTCAGATAGAGAAGGGAGCACCGAATAAAGTGTGTTTGGAGGATCCTCCCAG